ATAAAGATAAATTAGTAAACGTCACTCAATATACTGATGCGTTCACACATCACATGACAAAGATGTCATCACCTTCATCTCCGGTAATTTCATTGGCGAACCTCACCTTACAATACAAACACGACTCACAAACTCTACCACTTCCTGATTTAATACAAATCAAATTATTGCACTGTGCTTGCGGACATAACAAAATTTTAAGCTGCTATTATATTTTAGAGCTTGTAAGTTATCCTAGACATTTTTTTTGTACTTATAAATAGAGAAAGAAACTCTTGCGTTGAAATAATATACTGCGTTTATTTTTTTTAATTATACGAATATGTTTATATTTTCTTCAATAATTTTAGTATCGATTGTTGTTGTACTATTTTAGTTTATTGTTTATACCTGTCAGTACAGGTATAAACAATAAACTAAAATAATAAAATAAAATAAATTATCAACATACAATCTGTTTAAATATAATTTATTGTGTACAGTCCACATTATTGAATACTCGGAACCAATAAATTCATATGGTCTGCATTGTTAGGTTCCTGAACATTAGAGTTTTCATTCTTCGGAATATTTGTCGGCAGGCGTTGGTCAATATAGACCGGATTAGGCATCAGTTGGTCGCGTACACGCTGATCAGGTTGAGATTGGTTTGCAGGACCTGGACCCTGCTCAGATTCAGAAGGGTCCAATAAATGTGGCATTTGTATGTCGGGTAACTGCTGGTTAGGCAAATGTGGCTCGAGTGGTTCGAGTGGCTTCAGGTCGGTTACATGGACTTCAGGTACGGGCTTCATTTGTGGCTTTTCTGACCACTGCCTGACGGCCGAAGGCACCATTTGATTCATTACGAATGGATCTTGTTGCAGCGTTGGGGGTACGACGCAGTACGGCATCGTAACGTCGTACGGACTACCCGGCTCGTTGACGTGGAAATGATGTTGACTCGGGTAACGTTCCGGAATATTTAGTTCCGGCAAACGAATATGTTGGGACGGGATATGTACAGGTAATCCTGTAATAGGGTCAATTAGTGGCATATTTGGGTCACGAATTGGGATTTGTACAGGTAATTGCGCATAAGGGTTAACAATATTGAATTTTGGCACATGGGATGGGATGGGTACAGGTAGTTTCGAATTTGGATTTATAACGCCGAATTCTATATTAGGAACTGGACCTGATATGGGTACCCGGAATTTTGAATTCGGATTTATAACACCGAATTCTATGTCACGAATTGGGCGCGGAATGGGTAATTGAGAATTAGGGTAAGCAATATTCAATTGTGGCATTTGAAATGGCGCCGGAAGTTGTACAGGTAGTTGCGAAATGGGATGAGTCACTGGTATATTTATATTAGATATGGGATGGCAGTTCAAAATACTTGGATCGAGTAACGGTATTTGGTATTCATGTAAAGAAGTTCCTTCTGCATTCCACTGCTTTTTCCCAAAATCCAGTATATTCCGGTACAAATCTGCCTGTGGCACAAGATTGTTGAGTACAGGCGTTTTTATTTGATTAATGACTTGACCGTTACAGTAAGCTTCTATTGTCAAGTAGCCGTTGTGTAGCAGAGCCGCAGTCCGGTGTACCAGCAGCGCAGATGGTGCTTTTATTGCAAGGATGACGGGAGCGGTATCACATACTATTATCTTCAGGCCCACTTCTTGCCTGCCACCACATACCTACAACATATGTTTTTGATATTTATCTGGCGAACACGATTAACTAACATATTCACAGTCATTCAAATTCAAATTCAAATTCAAAAATCATTTATTCATGTAGAACATTTTAGCCGCTTATGAACGTCAAGTTTTTACATTATATTTTTTTTCCCTACCGTCCAGTTCGGTATATAGATCCAAATGAGAAGAACTGGCAAGAAACTCAATTGAATTACTTTTTTTTAAAAAGCCAGTTATTTACAATGCACAGGTATTTATATAGGTGTCTATGTCTAACATTAAATGAAAATCCCGTGCATGAACAACTATTGCCATGCACGCTCGTCATTCAAGTAATCGTTTAGTGAGTAATAGGCCTTGTTCAGTAAATATGATTTAACAGATGTTTTGAATTTATTTAAGGGTAATTCCAATATATCCTTTGGTATCTTATTGTAAATTTTTATACCTATTCCCGTAAAAGACCTATTGACTTTTTCTAAACGATACTTGGGGACAGCAAGTTTGTCTTTAAATATAGTATTAATATTGTAATAATATTAATATAATAATAATAATATAAATTCGTTGTTAGAAATATTTATTGTTCAAAAATACTATGATAAGCATCCTTATCTTCTGATGTATTTCGGCTACGATCCGCTCGCATTCTCTATATTATTCGCAGGAACCGCTGCTGATTACTACAACCGATTACTGGACAAATCTGTTTTGTAAGTTATAATGAGCTATACAGATATTTTTGTCAATGCCCGTGTACCTACAGTACACAACGTGATCGAACCATATTTGATGTATAGATATCTGATCCACCTGGCATAAACATACATACACATCATTCTTAAACTATATTCTAATCACCTGGGAGCCGGGGGGGATCGAAATTACGTGGTCCTTAACTCCAGCCTGCAATACAGTGGAAACCGCCGTCACTGGCAAACCATCCGTCCACCCTGAAAATGAAACAAAATATTAGATAAATTATAGTAGCACAAGTAGTAGTTGTGGATAAGGATATTTTAACACGCGCAGGTTTCATTTATTTCATTGTTAAAAATATTTATAATCGCTAACTATTGTATACTTATGTGTATTGTTATAGTATATATATATATATATATATATATATATCATGTGCCTGTAGAGATCACCGGCATCGATTTATAAAATGCAATTTATGCAAAACCACTTGCTAGCTGACGAGGCAACTAAACGCTCCTACATCACCGTAGTAAATGTCCGGTTCGGATGCAGCATCATCATTTCACATATTTCATATTATAGATTAATTATATTACAAAATATATGTATTGTAAGAAATTTGTTCCGTCTTATCGACATTGTTGTAAACAATATGCTAAAAAATGAGATTACCATATGTTTTGGTATTACAAATCAAGGAATTCAATTCTTGAAAAGGATTTCGGGGTTTTGGGACAGGTAAGAGCTTCATGGTAGGGTCGAACATGGCGTTGGAGTGTTGTATGAGCGACGCCAGCACGAGGCCGAGCACGAGCGCGGGCCGCAGCGCGCCAGCGAGGGGGGGCGACCACATGTCACCGACGACCACCTACTGTAACTGTAGCTCCACTGTACCGCACTGTAGCAGTACTGTACTGTACTGTACTGTACTGTAGTGTACTGTAGTGTACTGGTGCGGTGATTGCACACTAACGTTCGCTCCGGCGGTACCGAGCGCATTTTTATATCGTATACGATACGCAGCGCAACTCTTGTTCACTACAAATTAGTTTGTGTACACAATTTAATGTGTGATGATGACATGGCTACCACAATTATGTGCCGTGTACGTTCTAATGCTTAATATAAAGTAGGTACATACATATGTATAGCAATAGTTACTATTATTGTTATTGGTGATATATTTTTTTGTGTATTTAAAGCAGTAAGTATTGTTCATTCTGTTTCGAGTTCTCGCTTTCTCCATGCGGTGTGTAGTACATCCGCTCCACACTCTGTTCCTTCGATTTTCATCGTAATCTGGATTTTTTTTGTCCACATTCGAATGTTTATGTAATTACTGACCGTGACTCACTACTGGTCTGTGAGTCAGTCTGACAGCGCTGCGTGGTCAGTGTACAGCGGACAGCTAACTAGTGCACCCAATCGTACTCCCGGAAGCATGCTTCACATCAACAACTCTAGTATTTCTTTTATAAACGTCCAACACAAATGACACAGTAAAACCACGCGCATCACTTAGTATAGAATCGGTTGTTATATTACGTGCATGCACCATATTTATATATTCAGCAGAGTTAATGGCAATTTTACGGTTGACGCCCGATAACATGACACCTATTTAGTAATACACGGCGACGGCGCTGGCCGCTCGCCGCCCGCCGCGACCACTCACCACTGACCACCGCCCCACCACACCACCACTATCACAATCACACACACTAGAAACAAAGTATATTATGTCGATTATATTGACTAAACATGGACTCGAGCTCCCTTCCCCCTGCGAGTCAAGACCAAGTAGTTTATCTTTCGATGCGACTTCACCTGAATGAGCTTCGATAATGATATTTGCGTTTTACAGAGTGGCATGACAGCAGAGGCCGCGCACGTGACCGGACTGACCGCGCGCCTCACCACCATCATCACCACCGGACCACCGCTAGTATCAAAAATGACCTTAATATAAGATATATAGCCTGTCATAGTATTCGTAAGTTTGTAATGTTAAGACATGTTTATTGCAGATTCATTTAATGACTCTACATTGATTGAATTTGTCGCAATACTCAGCAGATTATCACCGTTCGTATCAATCGTTGACCTGTATGGTTCTCGATATTTGACAGCGACTATATGGCAGTGCATGCGGCAAGTGACCATTCCACTCGTGACCTAGGGGCTAAAGGTTGGGGCATCGGAACCCCCTGCTGATAGGCGGATTACTAAAACCACGGACAAGATGATTCTAAAATCTTCTAAAATCTAAAATCTTTCTACTAATTGTATGGGTATGTTACAGTTTGTATAGATGACGATGACGGAGACCATGACGGTGACCGGTGACCGACATGAGGCTGGCCGTCAGCTTGTTTTTCATTCCAAATACATAAATAAATGTAATGTTACTACGTATATCGTACGCTAAGTCCATCATTATTTTTTTCGCCTGTATTGACTTATTTCTTTTTTGACGTTCCACAACATTCAACTGTGACAGTCTTCTTTCAAATCAATCAATCACAAAAATATATTTTGTATATTCAATTTAAATCAACATACAAAATACATATAATTATAATATAATATATACCTAATACACGTATTTATTTTCTTAGAATTGTATTTCAAGTAATTTTTATTATAATATAACGTAATCATGGATATAACGTTTCAATACACGAGGAAGCGCTGCGACTTCGGCCGGCAGCCGATGTTCTGCGAGCAGGGCCCAGAGATGTGCGACAGCATCGCCACCGACGTCGCCCAGCACCGCCACTACATGCTGCGCAACCCGGTGCACCAGCCCACGCAGCACACGCCCGCCTTCTCCGAGCGGCGCGTCAACACCATCAGGTGACCACTGTGACCGCCCCGTCACCCCTCCGCTTTTACTTTTACTACCTATGGAAAATCACTGACGAGTTGAATTGGACAGGGCTGAGTACACGTGTTCGGGTGCCCATCATGCCGAGGGTGGCTGGCCCAGGGACGTCAACATTATAGACCCTGAAGCGACGCAGCGTTACAGACGCAAAATAGAGAAGGACGACAACTACATACAGTGCGTTATGTCTCTTTCTACAGTGAGTAACGCTCAGACTGTTATGCTGTACATTTTTATTGACACAATCTCCCAATCAGTATTTTAATTATGAGTCCCGGATAGCTTCTGCTGTTTAGAATATTTTTAAAATGTTTTTCCTAATCTATGTTCTAACTTACGTACGCAACCTAGTACAGTGTGGCCGTAGCTCTGCATTTTCAATTATTTCAGGGTATGGAGCATTATGTTTTACAAAACAACTCGATCGACATGTACCGCACGTACTACGCGGAGATGTCATCTCAGCCGGCCCTCGAGAGAAACAGTTGCCGCACGGTCAACGTGTACCGGGACGGGGCCGGGGACGGAGGCGGCCGGACCACGGGCCCCAGACGTCCCATCACCTCTATTTGCTGGCAACCCGAAGGCGGACATCGGTTCGCGGCCACTTACGCGGACGTGGACTTTTATCGTAACACTCACTCGACCGTCGACTCGTACATATGGGACATAGAGAACGCAAACTTTCCTGAAGTAGTTATTCATCCAACAGTGCCGTTGCTCGATTTACAATTCAATCCCCGCGACCAGAACGTTCTAGCAGGTGGACTAATCAACGGTCAAGTGGGATGTTGGGACCGTCGGCGAGGAGGCGTCCCGGTGGGTGCATGCCCGCCGCACGTGGCGCACCGGGACCTGGTGCGTAACGTGCTGTTCATTAACTCGAAGTCGGGTCAAGAATTCTTCTCGGCGGGGCCGGACGGCGCTTGCAAGTGGTGGGACATGCGCAACCTCAATGAGCCCACAGACGAAATGATCATAGACGTGGTGAAGTCGTCCTTCGATACGCAAAGCATGGCCAACGCTAACGGTGTGACGGCGCTAGAGTACGAGCCCACGATACCCACACGGTTCATGGTGGGCACCGAAAACGGCTTGGTCGTCGGGGGCAACCGCAAAGGAAAAACACCTATGGAAAAATTACCAGCTAAAGTAAGTCCTTTATTATATTTTTACTGTTTTAGTTAAAAAGAAGTAAAAACGGAATGAAATATTCAATTTATTTTATTAACTAACTAGCTAGTCGCCCCGACTTCACCCGGGTGTACATGTATTATACATATAAACATTCCTCTTGAATCGCTCTATCTATTAAAAAAACCGCTTCAAAATCTGTTGCGCAGTTTTAAAGATTTAAGCATACATAGGCACGGACAGACACCGACAGCGATTTATACCATGTAATGATGATGCAGTTAAATTTAGCATACTCTTTTTTTTAGTTTGAAGCACACGTGGGACCTGTATGGTCAATAGAGCGGAACCCTGGCTTTCTGAAAAACTTTTTGACGGTAGGAGACTGGACGGTGCGCGTGTGGAGCGAAGACTGTCGGGAATCGGCCGTCATTTTCTCTCCACCGCATCGTCACAAGATCACCGCTGGTACTTGGAGCCCGACGCGGTACTTCATCGTCATCATTAGTTATTGTTACAATTGCGCGTTTAATATAATGGGTAATCGTCATATTAGAACGTGAATCGTATCATTATTGTAATACGGCATTGATTGTCTCGAAAGGTTATCGTTGATGCTGTTGGCGCAGTGGAACGGTATGATAGCAATCTGGGACCTGCTGCGTCGCCAGCACGCGCCGGTGCTCACCATGCAGGTGTGCGAGGAGCCGCTGCTGCGTGTGCGAGTACACGAACAGGTGACGTGTCGGCCGCAGCCAGTGTCGTCGTTACTTTGACATATATTTAAAACGTCGTTTATAAATATCAACAGGGGAACATGGTGGCGTGTGGAAGTCGAAAAGGAAACATCTACATGATAGAGCTCTCGCAGACCCTCACGCACTCCGATAAAAACGACAAGGGACTCCTCACTGCGGTAATTCAATATCTGTGCTACTGCTGTCTACATATCTATAGAATATAAATTTTATTTTATCTGTATCTATATATCACATCTATTTCTCTGTTTCACTCGTTGATGTTTGTAGAGTGGGGCTAAGGAATCTTAGACTCACTAAATACTTGGACTTGTATGTCAGTTACGGCCATCATTTTACGACGTGATGGACCGTGAGCTCGTTTGCCATCGTTTCGTTCTTACAAAAGAATTTTATCGTTGCACATACGTAGTACAATAATCGTTCATCAGATGTTCGAAAGGGAAAGCAAACGCGAGCGCATCCTGGAAGCGCGCCTGCGGGAAATCCGCTTGAGACAGCGGCAGGCGGAGGAGGGCTCCCCGCGCGCGTCGGCCGCCGACCTGGAGCCCGCGCTCGGGGACCGCGACCTCGCCGACGCCGCCGCGCACTACCACCAGCTCGTCAACAAGGAGCGAGCCGCCATGTAGACCGTCACCGGTCACCGGTCACCAGTCACCAGTCACCGGTCCCCCATCGATGTTTATAATGATATTGTTGTCTTCTTGTTTTGAAATCATGTAGGGTTAATCTGTGCCATAATTAAACCTAATTTATTTTCTTAAAACGTATTAGTAATAAAACTGTGAAAGAATACAATTGATTTCACTACGTTCGTGCTATATAATCCTTACTAATAATATAAAACGAAAGTAACCCTGTCTGTCGGTCTGAATGTAGCACTTTTACGCCAAAACTACTGAACCGATTTAAATGAAATTTGGTACACATATTCTAAACCCTGAGAAAGGACATAGACTACTTTTAATGCATTGAGTTGATTACATATAAATAAATATGACATTCACAATTTTACCCTTAAAAATAGGGGATGAGGGATTGTACGCAAATTCATTATTTTTCAAACTAGAACTATAAACATTGTTCCTTCGGTTTTTTATTATTATTTTATTACTTGGTCGATCCCAATTCCATGCGGACGAAGTCGCGGGCACAGCTAGTCATGTATTTTTTTATTTCCATATGGCGAAACAGTAAGTAAATTGTTCTCTAAATAGGCAACGCGGGGATGAATCACGAATAATAAGTATCTATATCGGTGCAAGAGAAGGCGAGACAAGAAATAAACTGAAACATTACGAGGCGATACCCGAACTCGGAACCACGGCCGTATGAATTACATATCATAACGGTAACTAAACTATAGAGGTAAATAATTTCGACTGATATGTTAATAAGTATTCAGTGTACCAACCTGAGGACATTTAGATATACTTACAAAGGATTTGCATCATCATCATCATCATCTCAGCCCGGAAGACGTCCACTGCTGAACTGACTGACTGTCCACTAACTGTCTACTATTATATACAAATCCTTACTATTATATAATAATATATAATCTGATCTGTTTATCTGTTCGTTGCGATTTCCCGACAAAACTATTGAACTGATTTAAATGAAATTTGGTCTCTGAGAAAAGATACAGCCTACTTTTTGGTGCGAAAAAAGGTTGTAAGGGGTTGAAAGAGGAGATGAAAGGTTGTATGGAAGTATCATTTTACTATAAGTAGAAACATGAAACTTTTTTGGGTCATAATCTAACTAAATATAGTTTCTTTATTTGGTTAAAATCACTATTCCACTATCACGAAATGGTATATAATAATAATAAACTCAGGACAATTCACACAGCTCCATCTAGACCCAAGTTAAGCTAGCTAAAGCTTGTGTTATGGGTACTAGATGACTGATACATATACATAGATATTTTTTTTTGGAAAAACATACATATTATACTTAGAAAACCCCCAGACCGATACAATCATACTCATGAATACAGATCTTTGTGCCGTGCGAGGAATCGAACCCGCGACCATCGGTCGTAAAGCGGTGTTCTAGACCGCCGAGGTCTTCATATAATATATATATATATATAATAGTTGTAGCGGGTAAATAATACGATGTTGCTGGTCGAGACGATGTATATTACAGATGATAATAAACTGACAATATGTACATAGAAATAATGATCTTATAACTAAGTAAAAGTAGGAAAATGTAAGGTGGGGTGACACAGTTTAGATACAGCAGTGCCTAGTAGACAATATTGAATTTGTCTTACTAGACATTATTAAATGCAATTATTATTTTGATGTATCTAAAATAGATATTCCCCCTTGAGAGAAAAAATATATATATATTACACACAAAAAAATTATAAAAGTTAACTGTAAAATTTAAGATATTATTCACTTTAGTAACAATAAAAATTCATTATACCCAAATAACGACGTAAATCTTCGACTGTCACTCGTCGATTGCTTGCCATTTTTCTTGCGTTGGTTTCATCCCTTGGCTCGTTATATGATAACCAAGAAAATCTAACTCCTTTGTGAAGAACTCGCATTTGCTCATATTAATTGTTTGCGGCGAATAATTTGATTTCGCTAGCGCTCTTTTTTGGTCTGTGCTTGTTTTTTATAATCGAGATTTTTGCTCCGGTGTAAAATTCTATAGCCACTGTTAGAAGGCGGTTAGCGTTCCGTCTTATTCTGCGTCGAATCTAGTTTTCTGACGGTTGTAGGAGCGCGGCATGTCACGTTTGTATGCCTTTTCTTTATATTTGCGATGATATAATATAAATAATAGTCATTTTTCTGACTATGCAATGACCGTAGGTGCGAATTTGACCTAGATCGGTAGTTGCTGCGTCTGTTTGTGTGTGGCGAGCGCTTTTCGCGTATATCAGCAATTTCTGATCGCAGTGTCGCAATTAGTGACGACAGGTGTGCAATGACGTCGGCGGTGACTGTTGGCTGTACTTTTGTAGACAGCATTTTTGCTTTATTTTTCCAGTTACAATTTTTCGTCCAGAGATTATATCCAGCAGGCAGTTGTGTTTACTGGGGGTCAGTAGCACGGCAGGATCCTTGTTGCGCCGTATTGCCAACGACTTTTATGCCTCTTGAATTTCCGAGCCGGTGAGACCCGCTTCTGGGAAGCCGGTGGAAATGTGCAATCGTTGGTGGTGCGCAGGATGCCGTCAGACAGAGATCTCTTGTTTGTGTAAAATATGTACTGATATCAGTTATTTGAGGAGCACAATAAAATACGTCCGTTCACTATATAACATTTAATTCGAGAGAGCGCAACCTACCCTACAACAATTGTATTTGTGATTAGCTTAACTACCTACATATATTACACCTCCACCCTTATATACTAGTACAATTATATTTTACAATAAAACATTTTTTTTTTTTTTACATTAGTCGAAGTCGAACCCATATCTATGTACAGATTTCCTACATCGTTTGAGACGGCTCACCGGTGTTTCTATGGGGTTATCAATATCCGATTTTGTAGAAACTCCAGGTGATAATGCCAAATTTGAAGTTACGGGAACCTCACCTCCGCCTGAAATTTCTACATCTGCTCCTAACTGTGTAATAGCTTGCTTATCCATAGACTCAGTTACGGAATCATCAACACCCGTGTTCGTATGTTGTGATGAAACTACTATATCTGTAGTTGAACCATAACAACTACGTCTTTTTTTTATCTGATCTGCATGTCTTTTAATGGATGGACCCCCTTCCCTACTTACAATATAATTTCTAGAACCTACTTTATTGTTGATTATACCTTCTATCCACTTTTTTCCTGTATAGACTCGCGCCCATACGGTTTCCCCTACATTAATAGTTTTTTGTGTACCGCCTGCGTTATGTACTTGTCTTTGTTGCGTTTCCTGTACTTTTATTTCTACCTGCCTATCTTCTCGTAGTAAATCCAGCCTACACCTTAACTTTCTACGCTGTAATAGCATCGCAGGCGGTGCTCCAGTGGTACTGTGTTCTACATTTCTATACATCACCAGATAAGTTTGTAATGATGCCTCTAAATCACTACCATCTCTTAATGATTTCTTAATCGCGCGTTTGCAGTTTGACCGCGTTCTCCGCTGCTCCGTTCGACGAGGGGTGATACACAGGGGTAAACGTCGTTTTAATACCATTCTTTGCCATAAATTCAGCATACTCTCGCCTACTGAATGGCGGTCCATTATCAGAAACAACTTCCTTGGGAAGCCCAAACCGTGCAAAAGTCTCACAGAGTACTTTTATAACCGCTGTTCCCGTGGTTCTCGCCATTAGGAATATTTCTAGCCATTTACTTGTAGCATCTATAATTACTAAATACATTTTACCTTGAAATGGTTCTAGGAAATCAATGTGCAAACGCGACCACGGCTCTTCAATATAGGGCCACGGTTGCGGTGGTACATGCGGTGGTGCAGTGCCCTCTACCGCACACGTGATGCATTGCTTACATGTGTTCTCGATGTCTAAATCTATACCTGGCCACCAAATAATACCGCGTGCTATACTCTTCATTTTAACAATTCCTAAATGTCCAACATGTAGTTCTTTCAGTAACTCCGCTCTCAATGCATTAGGTATACCGATAGCCCCAGATTATACAACCTCTATCGAGATACAACTCATTTCTGCGAATAAAAAAAGGCTTTAGGGTTTCATCTTTACAATCGTTCGGCCACCTGATTGTAAAAAATATACTATTTTCATTAATATATCATCCTTCATAATACTATTTTGTACTACTTTCCTTGTTATTGGTAAAAAAATTTGAATAAAATTTAAATAAGTTATTTCTTTGCCCTTTAAGTTTTCTTTTCCTATCGGTAACCGAGATAATGCATCTGCTGCATTGTTCTGGCTTCGTACGTATTCTATGGCATAGTCATATCCCGCTAAAATTACAGCCCAGCGCTGCAACCTGCTAGCTGCCATTATCGGTATACCGGTTTTATCCCCAAAAATCGATACAAGCGGTTTATGATCTGTTCGGAGCGTAAATCTCCGGCCATACAGATATTGATGAAACTTACGCACCCCGTAAATTATAGCCAGGGCTTCTCTATCAATCTGAGAATAGGATCTCTCGGCTGCATTGAGAACTCGGGATGCGTACGCTATTGGCCTCTCCTGTCCTCCAGTCATAATATGTGAAATAACGGCTCCTATTCCCGTACTGCTGGCGTCCGTCGTCAGTACTATAGGCAGCTCCGACGAATAATGGGCTAATACTGCACTAGAAATTAACATACATTTTATTTCATTAAATGCATTCATACATTGCACGTTCCACTCATACTTAACTTCTTTTTTAATAAGTGATATAGTGGGCTCAATACTGTACTTAGATTAGGCACAAATTTAGCATAATACATTACAAGTCCCAAAAAGGAACGTAACTCCGTAATATTGTTTGGTATTAGGGGCTTTTTTTATTGCTTCGATCTTCTCAGGACAGGTATGAACCCCTTTTTTACTTATAACGAACCCTAGATATGTTACTGAGTCTGCAAAAAATGTACATTTCTCTTTTTTTATCTTTAACCCATATTTTTGTAACCTTTCAAAAACTTTATGTAATGTCTGTATGTGTGACTCGTCATCCCTGCCTGTAATAATTAAGTCGTCTAAAAACACCCCTACTGTCGGTATATCTGCAAAAAGTTGCTCCAGTTTTCTTTGAAAAATTCCAGGACTCGATGCTAATAGATCAGTCTATTGTACATAAATAATCCCTTATGTGTATTAATTACCGTGTATTTTTTTGATTCGTCTAGTTCAAACTGTGCGTACGCTTGCGATAAATCTAATTTTGTAAATTTATCCCCGCCGTGCAATTTTGTAAGTAAGTATTCTACCTTCGGAAGGGGATAGTGGTCCACCTCGAGACATTTATTGAGAGTGATCTTAAAATCTGCGCATACCCGTATGGTGCCGTCCTTCTTCATTACCGGTACGATGGGCGTGGCCCAGTCGGAGGTAGTGACCGGCGTGATGATTCCGTCTCTCAGCATCTGGTCGAGCGCGCGGCCCACGGGCTCGCGCAGCGCGTACGCGAGCGGCCGCGCCCGCATGAACACCGGCCGCGCGTCCGGACGCAGCCGGAACCCTACCGTGCCTCCGGTGAACCGTCCCAACTTGTCCTCGAACACCTCACAGTATCTGGAACTGAATTCCTTAATATTAAAGGTATCCGTCGAAGTACCTATTCTGTAACATGACAATGCCGACAATGATTTATCTATTTCTAATTCTTCTAACCAATTTCTACCCAATAGGCAAGTTTTCCCCTTATCTATGATGTATAAATCTAATTTTTTGAATAACTCGTTGTATTTTACTACCGGTGTAATTTTGCCCAATGGGGATACAGTTTCCCCTGTATAGTACCTTAACACTAAATTACAAGGTTTTAACTTACAATGTTTGAAATAATTATTGTAACAATCCACATTTATACATGATATAGCACTCCCAGTGTCTATTTCCATTTTTAACAATACACCTTCAATATTTATATTGACGGTGTATGGTCCAAAGCATTTCAAATTTGTGTGTAATGAATAATTATTTACCTCGTCACTATTATCACTGTCCGATTTGTCCAAATACCGCACCTGTTCTTCTTGTAAACTGTACAGCGATTTATGACTCTGTATTCTTGGGCACATCTTCTTTAAGTGTCCACTTCGATTACACACTCTACAAACATAAGCCTTAAATTTACATGAAACAGACTCATGTTCCCCCCACATACGTTACATCTATTTTTCCAGCTGTAATTCTGGTTTCTGTTCGATCTGGTGTGTGTATATTGTCTCCTGTCCGCTCCGCTCGTGCCCCCGTCCGCTCCGCTCGTGCCGCTTGGACCGTGTTCGTATTGCTGCGTAGCTCGCCGGCGATAATGGTCGGCGGCCGACCGGCCGCGTGCTCTGCCCCCGCCGCCCGCGCCGCCCGCGCCGCCCGCGCCCGTCGCGTGTCCGATGTGATGCAGCTCGGCCGCCGCTGGGCGCGCCGCCCTTGCCTACTGTCACCTGGTCTGCTCCTGGTACAGTCTTCTATCAAGGCCGCGTTCGTCTCGGCTGCCTCCATCGACACAGCAATCTTATATGCTCGCTCGAACGTGATCGTGTCATCCTCAGTAAATAACCTCTGCCTGATATCATCATTGATTAATCCGCACACGAATTGATCTCTTAGATTTCTCTTAAACTATCCGCCGAAAATCCGCATTGTTTGCTAATTTTTTTTAATTCCGCCACAAAATTAGATATGGTTTCTTCTGACTTTTGTATACGCTGCCTAAATTTAAATCTTTCCGCTAACATACTGGGTTTAGGATTCAAGTGTCCCTTCATGGGTGTCACTAAGTCAGCATAACTTTTATTTGCGGGTTTCGTCGGCGTACACAGATTAACCATAAGGTCATACGCATCACTTCCGATAACTGTTATTAAGGTAGCCACTTGTAGTTCCGTTTTCACAGCGTTCGCCACAAAATATTGTTCTAGCCGGTCGACATACGTTTCCCAGTTGTCTTTGTCAAGGTCGAAAGGTCCGATTTTGCCCACAGACATTTTATACTTTTACTATAAATCACTATTAAGACCTTTAATACGCTCATAGGCACTTTATTACTCGTCGCCACTGTAAAATATGTACTGATATCAGTTATTTGAGGAGCACAAGAAAATACGTCCGTTCACTATATAACATTTAATTCGAGAGAGCGCAACCTACCCTACAACAATTGTATTCGTGATTAGCTTAACTACCTACATATATTACAGTTTGATCTCGTCGTTTTCCCAGGTATCGTCTCGTTGCCGACTGGATCACGTCGGGTAGATCACGTCGGGCAGATCGCGTCGGGGTCACCACTGTTGCGGGTAAATAATACGATGTTGCTGGTCGAGACGATGTATATTACAGATGATAATAAACTGACAATGTGTACATAGAAATAATGATCTTATATACTAAATAAAAGTAGGAAAATGTAAGGTGGGGTGACACAGTTTAGATACAGCAGTGCCTAGTAGACAATATTGAATTTGTCTTACTAGACATTATTAAATGCAATTATTATTTTGATGTATCTAGGTGACTGTGTCCCATAATAGTTATAAACATTTATTGCATAATTTTTTTAAATATCATATTTTTTCTATAAAATTAATGTAGGCTGCCATTAACTACGCACTATGCAGAAGTGTTACTACGCACTATGTTAGGTATAACAGATACCTAACGAAAATCTTGAAATATAATATTTATTTTCTTTGCACGTATCTGATTTGATGCGTCTCTTAGTCCTAAAAAAATCGCCAAATTTAGGGACTCCCCAACAAGATTAAAAGTCTTAAGAACATCTCATTTTAAAAAGACCTCAATAATATATTAATTGTTAATTTTACTGCAAATAGTATATTTTCCTTATATATATATTAATTACTTCATATATACTATAGTTGAATACCTGTCCTACTATGATGTGTGAGGACGACGGCGACGTCCCGCCTCCCGGCCGGAAAACTGCAAGGAGTCGAGAACTCTCCTCGGAACATATAAAACTCGGTTACATTATCAACTCGCTCCAGCTACGTGCCCATATTTCAATTAGTTTACACAAGATCTTAAGAAATTATATTTATAACAAGTCTTTTTTCAGAAATCAGTCTGTTGATGTATGATGACCACGTAAAAATTACTTCAGAAGTTTTTGAGATTATCTCAAATACCTATATAGACACATTTGAGTGTGTTTTAACATAACTTCACTAGACAACTCATTACTGGTATTCCCTTTATATTAGGTTAATGACGAGCTTGGCTCTGACGCCGGCTGCCGTCGTACAGGAAGAGAACCCGTGACTTGTGACACGGGTGCAGGTTTAAAGAGCTCTTTTATAATGCAGTAACACTCATCTTCACTACTTGCTGCATTCCCCTCGTCCCAACGAAATCCGGAATAAATCCGGCAATGCTTCCAATATTCACAATTACATTTCTCTACGTTTCATAATAATCGCACTAACCTTCAACTCTCGCTACGTCAGTTCAATTCATGCATCAATCAATCTGCTTGTCAAAGTCACAAAGATCATTAGGCTCTGGCCTCTGCCGCTCCGTTTCAGGTTGCACTGAATGCAATTTAGAAAAAGACACATGAATCAACTATACGACTTTACCATTTTTCAAACATGAAAGTTAATATGTGTATAGATATAGAAATAACGTATTGTAGATTATGTTAAATATAATATTATACGAGCGAGAAATACATATATTAATGTGGTAAAAATATGGTTAAATCGTACAGAAATTTGTCCGAGAATGCACCGATAAACAATATATGTGTGGAACGCAGCCGATATTACGTACTTCGTAATTATTTATTGCTCTGTTGTTCTCGGTAGGAAGAATGTTACGTCTGATTGTACTAATTGTATGGACTGAAAACAATTTCGTTTAATATATTACAATGAATAAATAACATAGAGTTGTCTACATATTATTATGTTAGAACATCTATTTCTTTAGGATTCATTACAAAACGTTAGGTTAGTAGGATATAAATACATCGTGATCCGCCGCGTCGCCCCCCTCCTCCCCGCCCTCCCTCCTCTACCTCCCAACCCGCAGCCGCGGCGCGGCTCGGACTTTTCATTTTCGGACTACTGTAATGCTGTCGGCCGCAACTGGCCTTTACAGCGCGGACGTCAGACAGCGTCTGTACGTGCCGGGTGTGTTTGACGGACACACTGACGGGTGCCGCGGCCGCGCTCCGGGGCTACACTCTTTCACTTTCAGCACTACAACATTTACAACGTACGATCAGTACAGGCTAGTGACACTTCATGCTATATTAGTCATGAGTTCGGTTTACTCGTAAACATTTGACGTCGTGAGGTTATAAATAGGGTGGCCGCTGCGTGCGCGTGCGAATGGCGGGCGGTGCGGGGAGTGCGTGGCAGGCGGGGGACGGGCGCGCGGCGGCGGCGCTGCGCGAGGTGTTCGCGTGGCTGAGCGGCGCCGAGCTGGCGCGCGCGGGCGCCGCGTGCCGCGCCTGGCGCGCCGCCGCCGGGGACCCCGCGCTGTGGCGGCGGCTGCTGGCCGCGCGCGCGCCAGCCCGCACGCTGCGGGCGCTGCGCCGGCACAGAGGTAGCTGTAGCTTCGTCCGTGACCATGTCACCCGAGCCGGCCAAACTACTTCTTTAAACGTTATACTAAATTTTTTATTGAAACAGGATCACTGTCGTGGCGGCAAGAGTACGTAGATCTGCACGCACGTTGGAAACTAAGAGCGAGGTTGACGGCGCCCGGCGACGAGCCGCTGCTGCACGCCGCGCTGGCGGACGGCGGCCGCCGCCTCGCCGTAACGTCCGAGGACGGTCTCGTCACGGTCGGTGCTGAACGTATCCGTCGGAGCGAGTGCCGCCGCACTCGGCCGCATCTCCGGTCTGCTGAAGTTTCGTTCATGAAGATATTCTATAATTTCTTTTTGCGTTCAGATTTGGGATAAAGACGCGGACGGCACGTGGAGCGAGCGGTGCGGCATCAGCGTGAGAGAGCAAGGGTGGGCGCGGGCGGAGCGCGCGGTGTGGGCGGCGGGGGGCGCGCGGCTGCTGGTGGCGGGCCCGCTGGCGCTGGCCGCGCGCTGGGAGCTGCTGGTGCTGCGGGTGAGCGCGGGCGGCGCGTGCGGCGTGCTGAGCCGTGCGGGCTGCAGCGCGGGCGCGGCCGGGTGCTGGGCGCGGCCGGCCGGGGACGCCTTCCTCTCGCTGGAGCTGAGCCGGCTCGCGCCGGGACAGGCCTGCACCACGGTCTGGCTCAACGCCGCGACGCAAGTCTGTTCCACTACTGGCTTCGTTATCCGCTTACTCGTTGACATTTATCGATAATGAAATACGATTTCTGTTTTTTTTTATTGTTTAGGAAATTCAGTCGGAGTACGCGGGGGTGACTGCGCCTCTTCTACGTATATACAACGAGGACAGCGGACACATCACGTGAGTTGTACCTGCAACGAACACAAACTCAAACTAATACCACACGTGCGTCGTCGGGTGTCGTCAGTGAGTGTAGGCGCGCTAACAGCGGGCGGGTGTGGTGTGGTGTGGTGTGTGTTTCAGGCACGCGGTGGTGGTCGAGGTGCCTCTGGAGGAGCCTCTCGACGACGACGCTGTCTCTTCGCCGACCGATGACGGGCAGCTCGCGCCCGGGGAGCCCTACTATCGCGCTACGTGTGCTGTGAGTTCATTCATTTTTTTAGTTTTTTTAGTATACCATCGTAAATAAATATAATCATAATAAAATAGTTCAGCCTTTTCTAGAATTATCAACAGTAAATAGCATCTACTGTTGACATGTTTTCTAATATGTTACATTCATCATATGTTACATTCATATCATACTCAATTACATAATAATATTACTATTATTATGTAATTGAGTATGAAAATAAAATACTATAACAAATTAATCTGGCAGTATTTATTTTAATACATCGTTTAATTTTGTCTGGGGCGCAAGATATACTGCAAGGCTTCGATTTTTTTTTTAACACAGGGGACTAACGGGCATGCGTCTCACCTGATGGTAAGTGATTACCGCCGCCCATGAGCACCCGCAACATCAGGGGAATTGCAAGTACGTTGTCGGCCTTTTAAAAAGGAATAAGCTCTTTTCTTGAAGGTTTCAATATCGTATCGGTTCGGAAATACCATTGCGGGAAGGTGATTCCACAATGTGGTTGTGCGGGGCAAAAAGTTTCTAGAAAACCGTACTGTGGAAGACCGCCATTCATCCAGATGATCAGGATGGTATTTCAGTTTCTGGCGGGTGGTACGGTGGTGAAACTCAGCAGCTGGTATTAATCCGAACAATTCCTCAGAACACTCCCCGTGATATATGCGGTAGAAAATGCACAGAGATGCAATATCTCGCCGCAGAGCCAATGGGTCGAGTCTGTCACATAGACGTTGATTACCAATGATTCTGGCTGCTCGGTTCTGAATGCGGTCAAATGGAAGTAGCTGGTATTGTGGTGCTCCCGCCCAGAGATGAGAACAGTATTCCATATGCGGCCGGATCTGCGCCTTGTATAATTGCAAGCTTCTTTGAGGCTATTTTAGCCTTGTCCTCCAAATGACCGCAAAATTGAACGTCACTGGATATATCAACGCCAGGAGAGTGTCTTGAAACTGAGGAGATACGATAAATGGAATCTTTTAGCGGTAAACATGCAAACTTTAATTAAAAATTTTTTGACATAGCGTCATTCCGGGAAGTTACTTCAAATTCGAAAGATTCCTTGTTAAATTTTATATTGCAATTAAATTTGTAACCTTTAGAGAGAGAAAAGAACAGTCGTATACCAATGCGAGGGACGCAGCGATGCATCGATTACAACTACTGGTTATTAGGGTATCTTAGTAGGGTCTTTAATAATCATCATACTATACTAATCAAATGTTTTTAATTGTTTTTCATTATTATTATATATATAAAACAATTGTATCTACATCAAATTACTATTCTTACATTTATATAATGTAACAATATATTAACTATGTTATTTCTCTCTAAAAGTGTTATTACTTTTTATTTTATGTCAATATTTTGGCGCCAAAGTTACTTCACTTTTTTATATGGACTAAGGGCAACGAAACAATATCAAAAGGTTATATTTATATTATTGAAATTAACAACATATAATTGCCATTAATTAACAACATTAAATAAACAATTAAATTATATAAATTATAATATTTAGATAATATTAAAAGTGGGATATTTAACAACTACATCATCATAATTAGGTACTATTAATTCCGTCGACCATAAAATTAGATCGACGTATCGTCTGCGAGTATTACTATGTATGCCGTACATATCGTGTTCGTGTTAATTCCAGAGTGAGGCCCGCGGCGCCAGCGTGCAGACGTTGGTGGCGGCCAGCTATGGCGAGTCGGGCATCGTGCGCACGTGGCCGCTGGCCGCGCTGCAGCCGCCGCCGCTGCTGGCCGCCGCCCTCGGGGACCTGCGGCAGCGGCGGAGGGCGCGCGAACACCGACCCTCGCCGCCCCCCGCACCACCCGCACCACCCGCACCACCCGAGCCCGACGAGGCCGCCGTGCGCGCGCTGTGCACGCCGCCCGACTCCGCGTGCCGCCTGCACGCCGCCGTGCTCGGCATCGTCCCGCACCCCGGGTACGAGCGGGTATAGCCACCGCGGGGCGCATTCGGACGCACCACCATACATCGGACGAATGCATTATTTTTAAGTTCGGTACGTTTCGGGCATATAAACCGTCGGGTCGGCTCTGATCGGTTGCAATTCTGCGAACAGCGGGCGGTGCGTGTGGGCGAGCACGGCGGACGGGCGCGTGCGGTGCCTGTCGCTGCCGGCGCTGCGCGTGCTGTGCGCGGTGGGCGCGGCGAGCGGGCCGGGCCCCGCGCCCGCCGACCTCCACTACGTGCAGCCCGCCGCCTCCGACCGGTACATCGCCTGGTGAGTGCCCCGTACACGTGCTCCGGGCCCCCGTGTGGGCGTGTACGGTGGCGGCGACTTGACCCGAGGCTATTGTCGCAGCCCCGGCGGCGGCGGCTCGTGCCGCGTGTGGGTGTGGTCGGCGCGGAGCGGCGCGCGGCTGTCGTCGCCGCTGACGCACGCCGCGCCCGCGCTCGCCGCCGCGCTGCCCCCCCGCACCCCCGACACCCCCGACACCCCCGCCGCCCCCGACACGATACTGGTGCTCGCCACCGATGGACTGTATGTGAGTTGTCGTCTGTAATCCGCGACATTATTACATTATGACACGAGTCAGTACATACCGGCATAGTTGCACTCAACCGACCATCCGAATACGACATGCATTGAGGAGTGAAATTGCATGCAATTCTAAATTCTTTATTAATTATTATTATTAAAAGTATATTAATTGATACGTTTGATTTAGTATCTGTGCGTTGATGTATCAGTGAGTACTTTATATGTAGTAATTTGTACAGAGCATACATTATTTCCAGGTATGGCAGAGCACAGTGACGACTCAGCCTTCGCTATGTTCGTATGAGTGCTAATCAGAGGTGGATCGGGAAATTGTGGGGCCCTGGACTAAAATTATTATACTCAGGGGCCTACCTATTATATATTGCTCAACTAAAAAAATAAACCGACAAAAACAAGCGACGGGGAATGGTCCCCGCTCCGTTCGGCGCATGCATGGGTTGACTGATCTCAGGGTTGCAATACTTATGGTAGGTTTTTGTTATTGAAACATTGCCTATGGTATTGCCTTTTATCCACGGGCCCTGGGCTGCAACCCAAGAAGCCCCTAGGTAGATCCGTCCCTGGTGCTAATAAATACATTTCAAACAGTTGACAGTCACATTTTATTGCGCCGCGGCCGTGCACCGGTCCCGTGTCGTGTCGTGTCGTGTCGTGTCGTGTCGTGTCGTGTCGTGACGCGCCACTCTTCACAAACAACAAATGTCCAATGGGCTGGTGGTGTCCTACTACCACAGATAACATAATAGTACATACATCTACTACTGTTATAAACAAGGATGTATGCCTGCACGTATGTGTGGTGCTCCTCCACATACAATACAAGAACTTGCGAACTATTTTTTTCATACCTTTTTTATTATCTATGTTTTTTTTTTTTATAAAACTATATAGTTTTACATGATTATATAAGTAAATACTATGATTATATAAGTCAATTACAATAATTTACTACTATGTATACCGGTGCGGTTTTCTTTGCTTGTCGTCTTGATCTCCATCCTTCACACGACTACTGAATGGTTCTTATGAAACTTTACAGCAACATAACTTGCACGTCACAATTACAAATGGTCCATAATTTTAAAAGATATGTATTGTGTGAAAATTTTACTAAATACATATGTATACGTCAAATGTATAAGTCATAATAGGTGTCAAAAAAAATAATTCGTTTTAAAACTAATAAGAAGAAGTAGTAATGTTTGAGATATCGTATACATGTTGTCCCACATTGAACGACACCTACTGATAGCACAGAAGTTTGAGTTAGTGCACGTTTGGTTACCGACCCGCCGTTTGGGCCGCGCCTACAGGACTGACCGGGCCCGACGGACCGGACGGGGACCCATGACCTAAACAAAACACACCAAGTCGCAAGATCGACTATTTACAATTTTGTACCGAGTCTCAGTTTCAGCTCAACCAAGATTTGATTATCAGCTTAACGATACAGTATTCAATATCTAAAGTGAAAACATTCCTAAATCTGTACAAGTGTAAAATGTTACTGACTTAATATAGTGATGACAAATATTAGTGTAGGTATACTAGCTGTGCCCGTCGCTTCGTTCGCGTGGTTATCAAAAACACTATCGCGATTAGTCGCGGACAATTTTTTTTTTTTTGATCATTTAGAGAGGAATGATTCTGTCATACATATTTTCTGGGTAACTTGAATTGTTACACACACAACGGAAGCCCTCAAATATGAATAATTTTCTGATGAAGATGTTTCGTTTGTATTGGTCGTAGCGTAATTAGTAATATAGATTAACATATGGACTATCCAAAACAAAAAAAATTCAATTCGAACCAATAGTTCCTAAGATTAACGCATTCAAACAAACAAACAAACTTTTCAGCTCTATCGTTTGTCGCGACCGCGTTGAATTATATTGGGGTCGTCAGGTGTTGAGCGGCGGCGGCCATCGCGATCGTAGCGCGGCCCTCTAGTGGCGGCGAGGACGTGATACGACAGTGATCCCACACCACGCACCACCGACGGCGGACGACAGACCAGCGGCGACGCCCTCACACACACACACACACATACACATGGCGCTCCGGAGCATGCTGCGACTGGGTCCACTCGCAATGGTAAGTCTTTGTACTGACACATACTTGAAGTTAGGTTTCCTTGTGTGACTGGGACTGGTATCGGCAAACTAATCTGACGGCTCGCATGATGCAACCGTTTGAACTTCCAGCCGAACTAAAGTCCACATACATTGATAAAACAGATGGACGCATACATGTGAACCCCAGGTGGTGGTGGACGTCTTCCGGGCTGAAAATTATGATGATGATTATGATTATGATCGTACCCTTCATAAGGAACGAAGAAAAAGTTTGCGAAGCAAACCCACTTATTTTTTTTCTGAGCTGCAATCGCCTGTCACAATTAGAATTAAAAGCTAATAACGTAAATTCGTAATAGCGTTAAGCACTTTTTTTTTTCTCCATTGAAATGGTAAAAGAGCAGTCGGCCTACCTCCTGGTGAGTGATAGCACGAGCATCCAAAGGCAGTTTTTAACAATGAAATCGAATGTCGCAGCCGGCGAGCGCGGCGCGCGTGCTGCGTCGCGGCGCGAGCGACTCCCGGCCGGCGTGTCCGGCGTGTCGCGCGACGCCGCGGCCGGCGTGCCGCGCGCCCGCGGCGGAGCGTGCCCGCGCGCTGCGCGTCACGTGCCGGCCGCCGCCGCGCGCGCGCCGCCCGCCCCCGTGCCCCGCGCCGTGCCCCGCGCCGCCGCTCACGTGCCCCGTGAGTATCGGTGCCATGGAATTTACTATGGAAAGTAATTGCCAAGTAGATGTCGTGGATACAGTTTTTTTTTTTTTTTTTTTAACCTAAGTCAAGCAGTTTGTCTCCAAGGATATCAATCTAGATTCAAAAATATTATTTCTGGTATCCCTCAAGGATCCCATATCGGGCCTATCTTGTTCATATTGTACATCAATAATATTGTAGATGTAATCAACAAATCAAACTACTTGTTATGCGCAGACGACACCAAATTATACAAAATGATAAAGACCGAGAACGATTATTCTAAACTTCAAGCTGACATAAATTCATTATCATCTTATTGTTCTACGATGTTATGGATTATATCATAGTATTATAACTAACATTTAATTTACATGTAGACTCAATTGTCTAAAGAACATTCAGAAATCTCGGGTTCATTAATAGGTTCACCAAGACATTTCTAGACGTATTACTCTTTAAAATATTATGTATTTCATTAGTCCGATCTATTTTGGATTTTAGTTCCGTCATCTGGAATCCGCTTTACAAGGTGCATAACACTATGTTCGTTGACTTGGAACCATTTTGTTGCACCTTAGTTACATATAGAAACAAACTAAAATTATGTAAAACATTTTCGGCACTCAATGTCTATAGTAAAAATAAATAATTATTTGTATATTTATATGTATATATAACGACTGTTTGTTGCCAAAATAAGAGAAAAAAAAAGTCGTAGTCGTAAAAATTGTGAGTCGTATTGATGTCTCGTAAACTTTACTTAACGAGCTTCTCTTATTGTTAATAGGGCAGTGAAAAACAAACTGACGAGTCGTGCATCAAATCGGATCGCATAACAGACAACCGCGTCCGAGGATGCGGCGAGGACCGCGACCGCGTCGCCCGCCGCCTCGCCGCCGCGGAGCTGGCGCGACGCCGGCGCTACGAGCGGGAGGCCGCCGCGGACGCAGCGCCCCGCCCCGCCCCGCGCCCCGCCCGCCGCCCGCGCCCCGCCACCGACGGCCGCCGGTACGCCGTGCTGCCTCCCTCCACTCCTCGCAGCGCCGCGAGCGACCGACGTGTCGAACTCGTTCCAGACGGAGAATGCCAAATACGAAACGAGACCCATCTGGACCCTTGCGCACATCGCCCACGAATACTACTCGAAATAGAACGTTCTAAACCATCGCCCGAGTCGACCGCGCAAACCTCTAAAGGATCTACGCCTTCCACGACGCCTCCGAGGAGGCTGGCTTCTCGTATTATGGACGGTCTGAAACGTACCACCTCCGGGACGGGTCGTCCCGAGCGTCGTCGATCCAAAAATAGGAACCGAACCAGCGACGACGCCGAGTGGTGTGAGAATTTGCCGAAACCGGTGACGGTGCCGCCGCCCTGCCGCGAACCGACGCTACTCGAACGTCTGCGTAGTCGTGGTTCCCCTCGCTGCAACGAAAAATCTTCACCCAGAGGTAAACGATGCCTTCACACCTCCCGTGATTTAAAAGAAGACCATCCGACACCACTCCTCGACCGTAATTCTAAAGGTTCTGACATAAGTGCCGTAGCTTCTCGATTAAAATCAGATTTTGACCGACTAAATACTATGCTGAGTACTAGAAATCGGTTGAAAGAAACGGAACGGAGACGATCAGTACATGGAGAGGAATGTAAACTGTTAAATGAGTCTTCCCGAATATCAGCAGCTGGTCGGTTAGACGTGCCGATACCACCGGGAGCGAGCAATGTATGCATTGATGTGGCGCTTCAGAACGTATGCTCAGCTCCAATCGTGAGGTCTAAATCACAGAACGAAAAGACACAAAACACTGGCGCAAAATTGCGATAATTCTAACACGGTAAAACACGACTCGTGGCTCGTTTCCATCAAGAACATACACAGAAAAATCACTGGATGTGGGAAAACGGATGATTCGAGATCGAACAATAATCGTTCTGAACCCACACGTCCGCCACAAAAACGAAACAAGCCACCAGTAGTCATACAGCCACAGGCGCCCGCTGTCCCTCAAACACCAAAGAGCCGATGTCCCACGCCGCCACCACCCCCAGTACCTCCGTTCAACAATCCACAGGGCTAGCTCTAACGTTCGACGATCCACGCCTACAAACTAAAGCAAATGAAATCTGAATCTCGTGAAATCATAAAAAAAAAAAAAATAATTATAATGAAATATGTGTGTGTGCTGCAGTCTTTTATTTTGTTTATAATAAAGAAATGTTATTTGTAATACATGTGTATTTATTTGATAGTAGCTATGCCCGCTACTTCATTCGTTTGTTATGTTAGTCATCTTGACCAAAGAAAAAACATTGAGTGGCACTCGAGGACCGTCGCGATAAAACGATAGAATAGAATAGAATTTTATTAACTCGTTTTTACAGTAATAACATAAGAAATACAAGAATAATTTACATATTAAAAAACGGAGTCAATGTGGACCACAACTCAGCATAATGCTGGAAATAGTTTCCAGCGCTGATTTTCAGTTGGGCCCTCAGTACGGACGCGCAAATATTACAATTAAAAAATACGTATACATTAACTTAATAAATCAGATATTATACAATTAAAATAAAAATAATAATACCTAGAGAAAAAGTATATAAATAATAAAAAGTAAAATTATATATTTATAATCTTAAACACCACCACCACCGCCACCCACGCACCTTTAGTGAATCCTTTACCCATTTTTTTTTTTTTTTTTTTTAACTTGTAGCAAAAGTTCTTTAAAATGCTTTCGGAAAGTATATTTTGTTCACTTCACGCATAGGTGGTGGGAGAACATTCCATGTTTTTGAGGCCGCTATTTTAAATGATCCCCGGCAAAGAGTAGTTTTATGAATTGGCGTTACAAGAAGAAATGGCGAAGCCCTTGTATGATATCTATTATAACCACTAGCTTCTCATACAGATAAGCAGTATCTAACGCCAAAAAGCAAAACAGCAAAATACAACTGCATTCGTGACTTCATTTTAAGAAGATTACTCTTATTCAGATATGGGGTTACGTGCGACCGCGGAGGGATGTTGAAGCAAAAACGCGCGCATGCATATTGTACGCATTGAATAATCCTCTCTGTTTTAGCATTGATGCCTGGTCCATACGTATATATCCGAACTATGTCCTTTCCGGAATCCAGAATGAAGCTTAGGTAGAATATGCTTAGATTCCAAGTATTTTGTCATTTGATAGAAAAGGCAATATATTTATGGGTCTTAAGTCCTGTTCTTGTGTGGGGTTAGCTGTTTTAGGTATCGGTCTAATCATGGCTATCTTCCACATATCTGGAAAGATACCTGTAGTAATGGAACTGTTTACAATAGCAGTAATTGCATCTAGTGAATGTGGCAGTGTGAGATTAATCATACACCTTGAGATTTGATCTATTCCGTGGGCATCAGAAGAAAATGACTTTTAAAAAATAGTTGCTATAGTGTCCTCTCCTACTGGTTGCTAATGGAATGTACTGGTGCCAAATCTATGAAACTCAAAATAGATCAAATCGGATATAGTAACTGAATCATTTCCAGGTAAATTTTAAAAGTGATAATTCATGAATTAAGAACGTCTGGATCGCTACATGACATGTACAGTTACTCCAAACAAAAAGTCTATTAGAATTAGGTACTAATTTTCTACTAACGAATACACAAACTTTACATCAATAAATATTATAGAGCCTTGATAATAATGGCAGGACACACAATATAAATTTATAAGAAAATTTAACAAAAATGGATTGTGTTGTTAGTGTACTACATATTCAAAAAAAAAAAAAAAAAATTCCAAATTATTGTACAATTTTCCCAGATGTACATCTTCGTATTAAGACTTATCCAGTTAGTGATTATATTTATAACTATCCGACACATATCCAATGTATATGTATATGTATACATTTCAACGAACACAAAACAATAGATAACATATAGTTTATGTATTATAGATCCAGATTTAATTCTTGTGTACATATATGTTTCTCTGAATATCTGTGTAAATATGTTATTATTGGGTCGTCCGCTGATCCTTTAATATGGACCGCTGGGTTCGGGCCCCGAGCTTACGCTCTTTACCCGGGCATACTGCTGGGGTATACCACCCCAGCGTCGTTCGTTTACCGGCCGGCCGGAAGCCGGCTGCTTCCCAGCAGCCGGCTGAGGGAGTCGTGTAAGAGGACTCTATAAGTCGCTCGCCGAGCCGGCTTAACGCCGCCACGTCACGTAAATGACGTGATCACTCGGTGGAGAGTAGGTCGCGCGGGAGCGCGCGAGTGGCGTCCGGTGGGCGCGCGTGGAGGGGGGCGAGGTCGCGCAGGTGCGCTTCGCGCCCGCTGTCCGCGCGCGAGAACATCGCGCGCGTCAACCGGACGACGAACTGCTCCACCGATGGGACCTTGAGGTCGCGGGCGATCACGTCATTACGGACGTACCGTCCGGCATTTGTGCACAGACGGAGGGCGGCGTTCTGTTGGACCTGCAGTCTCCGCCGCTGTGAGGCCGAGCACAGTGCGTACCATGCGGGGGCGGCATATGTGAGCCGCGAACGAATGTAGGTCTGATAAATGCCTACTTTCGTCCGCAGCTGCAGCCTGGATTGCAAGACCGGTCGCAGCATAGCGCGCGCAGCCTTGGCTTGGGTAACAGCCCGGTCCACCTGCGGCGTCATACGCAGCGACCGGTCGATTTCCACCCCTAGGTAACGCACTGTGCGCTCCCACTGGATGGGCTGGCCTCTCAGTAAGAGGGGCGGCGGGCATTTGCACCCGGGGCGGGTATGCAGCGCCACCGTTTTACCCACGTTAACGGTGGTACGCCACTTATCCAGCCACTCGGGGAGCAGGTCCAACAGCCGCTGCATTTTGCGAGCGGCTGCGTAGGCTCGGCGAGACGACGTAAGAAAGGCACTGTCGTCGGCGAACAGAGCGAGGACGACATCCCTCTCTCCCTCTCGGAGCTCATCCCTCAAGGTGGGGATGTCGTCTGTGTACGTCGCGTAGAGCGCTGGCGAAATGCAGCTGCCCTGCGGGACTCCGGCGGCAATTGGGCGTGTGGTAGAATCACAGTTCTCGACCGAAACATAGAAGCTCCGGCCCGAGAGGAACGAGTCCACTACTCGCACGTATGCTGACGGCGTGTTGGTGTCGAGCAACTTCGACACCAAAACGTCGTGCCACACACGGTCGAACGCTTTCTCTATATCGAGAAATACGCCGACCGCGTAGTGGCCGCGGTTGTGCTCGACAGCCATATGGTGGAGCACGCGCGTCAGCTGCAAAGTCGTCGAGTGTCCGCCTCTGAAACCGAACTGCTCGTCGCGAGGCGACAGAGTCGGTCTCAAGCGGCGGAGCAGGAGGCGCTCGAACGACTTTGCTACGTGCGAGAGCAGAGGGATGGGCCGGTAGCTTGCCGGCAGGCGCTTGTCCTTGCCGGGTTTCGGGAGGACTATGACTCTACCCAACTTCCAGTTGGTAGGGAAGTGGCCGGTCCGGAGTCGTTGTAGAGCCTCGCTAGACACGCTAGGGCTCTACGGGGCAGCTGTGCGAGCGCTGCGGTGCTGATCCCGTCCGCTCCGGGCGCTTTGCGCTTCGGCAGGCGGCTGACGAGCCGCCTTACCTCGCCGGGCGAAACGAAGCTCACTTCGTTTACATCCGGCGACGGAGCGGTACGGAAATCGCATACGCGACGTACGACTCGCTCGTGGTGCTCGACGACAGTGCTGGGTGCGTCGGCGGCGATTGGATTGGCCGTGAATTGCCCCTCCAAGTGCTGTGCCAGGATTTCTGCCCGGTCTTGGGCTGCGTAACGACGTCTGCCCGTCTCGTCAAGCAACGGGCAGACGGGAGGTCGTGCATTGGTGAGCTGTCGATTGAGTTTGTGCAGGTCGGTATCGTGTTCGCCGGCCCGGGATATGACACCCTCCCAGGCGGCTCCACGCCAATCCCGCACTCCCTCCGACAGCTCTGCAGCCAGGCAGTTGAGCTCACGCTTGACCCGCGGGCAGCGAGTTCGGGCCCATAGGCGACGGAGGTTCTTTTTCCGGGTAGTGAGGGCTTTCGCCGCACGGTACCCGACTGGGACGGTAGGGGTTGGTAGCCCTTGTCCACGAGCCGGATTCTCGGCGTCGGCGGCGCCTTCACTAGGTCGAGGTCGCGGGGGGGGGACTCCTCTACGTCCCTCCGTTTGTCGCCTCTAGCGGGCGAGGTCGGCGACGGCGGTGCGCGTCTTTTGGATGGGCCAGGTTGCGCATCGCATCTTTCCCCTCTGCCTGGTTCCCGGTCGGCGGCATCATTGCCGCTTCCCGCGAGGGCAGAGGGGGTGCCTTTGGATGCCGAGCGAGCATGGAAGGTCCCCAGCTCAGTGGCGGGGACCCCCTTGTCGGGTTCCTTAGAACCCGACGCACAACAGTTCGGGGAGCTCCCCTGTCAGGAGGTTTCCTGGGGGCTTTGCCCCCTTTCCGACATCACGACACGATAGGGTGATGTACTAGGAAAGGGGACTGGAGGGGTGGGAGAGGGTGATGTGGGGGCTGAAACCCCACGACGAACCTACCAGCAACGAATTTGCGTAAACAAATTCGGTCTGCAATCCTAGCGCGTTCTCTCGCTAAACAAAGTACACTTTGTGTAGTTGGATTACGCACTGTATCGCTCTCAACAATTTGCGCAAGTGGGCACCAGTTGCGGGGCTCACTCTGGAGACTCGACGGCGAACCGGAGTCTCACAGAGGATCACACGACCAACGGTAAACTCAGCAAGCAACAAATTGGAAAGCGACTATAAATATACATATTGTTAGCAGTAACTGCCGTTAGTGGCGCTAC